TGGTTTTCTTTAGTGTTATGTTTGGGTTTCTTTCTCTTCATTTTTTGTATTTTGGTTTGACGTTACCATGAGGTTCACATATATCAACCTGTATATATATATATAGCAGTCTTTGTCTTTTATGTATATATATAAAATATATATATATATGATATGTATATATCAATCTATTTTAAGTTGATAGTCACTTAAGTTCAAACACATTCTAAAAGCTCTACATTTTTACTTCTCCCCCTCCTTTTGATGTCCTATTTTACATCTTTTTATTTTGTGTATCCTTTTTTTTTTTAAAGATTTTACTTATTTGACAGAGAGAGACACAGCAAGAGAGGGAACACAAGCAGGGGGAGTGGGAGAGGGAGAAGCAGGCTTCCCGCTGAGCAGCGAGCCTGATGCGGGGCTCAATCCCAGGACTCTGGGATCACAACCTGAGCAGAAGGTAGACGCTTAACGACTGAGCCACCCAGGCGCCCCTTGTGTATCCCTTGACTACTTATTGTAGTTACAGTTGATTTACTATTTTTTTCTTTTAATCTTCATATTAGCTTTTTAAATGGCTGATCCCCCTGCCTTACTATATATTTGCCTTTACCAGTGAGATTTTTTTTCTTTCATATGTTTTCTTATTTGTAGTTATGGCCTTTTTTTTTTTTTCCCTGCTAAAGAAGACCCTTGAGGCGCCTGGGTAGCTCAGTCAGTTAAGCATCTGCCTTCTGCTCAGGTCATGATCTCAGGGTTCTGGGATCAAGCCCCGCATCGGGCTCTCCACTCAGCGGCGAATCTGCTTCTCCCTCTCCCTCTATGATATCTCTTGCTTTTGCTGTCCCTCAAATAAATAAATCTTAAAAAATAAAAAAATAAAAAAAAAGAAGACCACCCTTTAACATTTCTTGTAAAGCCAGTTTAGTGATGGTGAACTCCTTTAATTTGTATGGGAAACTCTTATCTCCTCTTCAATTCTGAATGATAGGCTTGCTGCATAAAGTATTCTTAGTTGTAAGTTTTTTCCTTTCAACACTTTAAATATATCCTACCACTCTCTTTTGGCCTGTAAAATTTCTGGGGAAAAATCAGCTGATTGTCTTATGGAGTTTCCCTCTTATGTGACTATTTGTCTTTCTCTTGCTGCCTTTAAGATTCTTTATTTTTAAGTTTTGCTACTTTTAATTATTATGTCTTGGTGTGGGTCTCTTTGGGTTCATCTCGTTTGGGACTTTCTTTGATTCTTGGACCTGGATGTCTGTTTCCTTCCATGGGTTAGGGAAGTTTTCAGCCATTATTTCCTCAAATAAGTTTTCTGCCCCTTTCTTCTCCTAGGGCCCCTATTACATGAAATATGTACACTTGATGTTTTCCTAGAGATCTCTAAAGCTACCCTCATTTTTTAAAATTCTTTTTTCTTTCTGCTGTTCTGATTAGGTAATTTCTACTATTTTGTCTGCTAAATGCCGATTTGTTCTTCTGTATCACTTCAGTGATTCTTCAGCTCTGGTTCTTATATTTTCTAACTCTTTGTTCAAGTTCCTTCATTCTTAAGTGCAGTGAGCATCTTTATGACTATTACTCTGAACTCTTTATCAGGTGGTTTACCTGATAAATTACTTATCTCTGTTTCATTAAGGTTTTTTTTCCCTCCCTAGGGTTTTATCTTCTTTTGTTTGGAACATATTCCTCTGTCTCCTCATTTTGTTTGACTTTCTGTGTTTGTTTCTGTGAATTAGAGTAGCTGTCTACCTCTCTTAGTTTTGAAGGAGTGGCCTTGAGCAGGAGCATCCTCTGTATAGACTGGTATGCCTGGCAGCTTTGGTTGGTTGAGCTGGAGCAGAGATGGGCCACGAGTATGCTGCTCTGGGGTTACCTTGACAGGACAGGTGGGGGGATGGGGTGGGCACCTTCAGCAGATAGCTAGAATTCATGTGGGCTAGGGATCTGGGACTTGCTAGGGCAGCCCTATAGATTGACTAGAGTGCCTGGACCCTGCTCCTGTCTGCACTGTGAAGGTGGATTGGATTGGGGGGTGGGGGGGTGCAATGTAAAATGTGATGCTTGTTGGCACCTCTGACCCTAGAGAGTTCCAGCAGTCCCTTGCCCATTTGGTGGATGCTGCAGGGTTAGTAAGTGGATTTTCCTCACATTCTAATTGCTCTTTAAAACAGCTGTGTTTGTTTTTTTCCACTGTGCCCAGAGTCGGTGAGTCTGTGCAGGGGCCCCTCAGTGATATCCCTCCTTACTGTAAGGCATCACATTGGGAGTGGTGTTTCCGTGGTTATTGCCTGTATCTCTGTCTCTCCTGCTGTTGTATATGTGGTTCCCCCCATCACTTTATGTGCAGAAGCTGTTCAATTGGTTCTCAGTTCTTTTTCAGCAGGAATTGCTCTCTATGTAGATGTAGATGTGGTGTATCTGTGGAAGAAGGTGAATTCAGGGTCTTCCTAAGCCACCATTGTGGACTGCCACCTGAAGTACAATTGATTCTGTATTGACTTTGTGTCCTGCAAACTTCCTAAACTCATTTATTAGTTCTAGTGGATTTTTTTTTTTTTTTGGTAGATTGTACTAGGGTTTTTTTGGTATAAATAATTACATTATTTACAGATAAAGTCACTTTTACATTTTCCTTTCCAATCTGGATACTCTTTATTTTTCTTGCCTTATTCCACTGGGTTAGAACCCCCAATACAATGTTGAATAGAAGTATTGAGAGTGGGCATTCTTGCCTTGTTCTTGATCTGAGGGAAAACATTCAGTCCTTCAATTAAGTGGGACGCTGGGTATAAGTTTTTCATAGGTGCCCTTTATCAGGATGAAGATGTTTTCTTCTATTTCTAAATTGCTGAGGGTTTTTATTAGGAATGGATTTTGAATCTAAAAAGCCAAAACCTTTTCTGCATCAGTTGAGGTGATTATTGGTTTTTCTTTTTTAGTTTGTTAACATGGTGAATTGCTTTGCTTGATTTTTTTTAACATTAAACTAGCCTTGCATTACTAGGATAAATCTCACTCTGGCATGAGGTGTTATACTTTTTATATGTTGTTACGTTTGATACACTAAAATTTTATTTGGAATTTTTGCATCTGTGTGTTCATGAAAGACATTGGTCTGTGGTTTTCTTGTAATGTCCTTGCTTCCTTCTGGTATGGGGGTAATGCTGGCCTCATTTTCTGGAGGAGTTTCTGTAGAATTGGTATAATTTTTTTCTGTGTTTGGTAGAATTCATCAATGAAGCCATCTAGACCTGAAGTTTTCTCTGGGGGATGGTTTTCAACTACAAATTCAAAGTCTTTAATATATGTAGGGCTATTCAAATTATCTCTTTCTTGCACAAACTTTGGTAGGGTGGATCTTTTAAGAAATTTGTCCAATTTATTAGCATCAAGTTCTTCATAAAGTGAAAACTTTTGTGGGGGACACAATTCAGTCCATAACAGGGACTTATCAGCATATAGATGTTATCTAGAGCCATAAGTGCTAAGGAAATGTGTGTGTAGGAATAGCCTAAGATCAAGCCTAGGCAGAGCAGCATGTAGAGGTCAGGAGAAGGAAGCAGACCCAGCAAGGGGGAATGGAAAGAAGCAGCCATTGAGACAGGGGCAAAAAAAGAATGTAGTACCCTGGAACAGAGGAACATATTTCAGGACAGACTGTGTTTTGACTTGGGCAGAGTGCTGCTGAGGCTGTGCGGCAGGTAGTATATAGCGTAGAATGCATGTAGAGTGTAGAATGTTGGGGAACTGAAAGAACAGAGGGGCTGGAATGTAGTAAATGAGTAGTAAGAGATGTACTTGAAAAAGTGATTGGGGGCCTTGAAGGCTTTGATAAAATGTTGGTTTTAATCTAATAGAAATAGTTATGGCATAGTTTGGAGCAGTAGAAGGCAACACTCTTATCAAGATTTGTGTTATTAAAAAGATCACTCTGGCTATTGTATGGAGAACTTTCAGGAGAAGGAATCAATAGGTCATAGTCACTGGTGGGTGTTAAAAGGGTGGTATGAGAAGAGGATGTTGGTATGAGAAGAGACTGGATGGTTTTGCACTTTTTGAGGTAAGTGATACTAGAAGACAGACGATAGGAGTCGGGGGAAAGTTCAATTTTAGACCTATCTTGTTTGAGGTGCTTAGAAATATTTACAGTAGAATGCTGCTAATTCTTTCAAGTCTAGGAACTTTTTGTCATGTAGGACTGGAAAGAATTTGAACGCTTGTGTTTTTATCTCAGTTTCATTAAATAAAGCAATCTTAGAATAGATATCTGGATTATAAAACTAGAGGGTCACAATTGTTTAAGGAGCTCTTAAATACCAAAAAGTAGTGTACTGGCAAGTATTTGCATATATGCTATTTTCAGTTGTTACCACTAGAGAGAATAAGGGAATTTAAAAAAAAAAAAAGATGGCTAAGAAAAGAGTAAATGCAAGTGATTTTATTAGGTATAAACATTCTTGGTGTAGGACTAAAAGTTATTGCATCACTTTAAATATCTTAAATATTAGATAATTGATTAACAGAATAGACTATGATTTGAATGGTAATAATGAATTTTCACATAATACAGCTTTAGATTATGCATATTTTTTATCATTTGAAAGAAAACATTTTTTTAAATTTAAATTCAATTAGCCAACATATAGTGCATCATTAGTTTTTGATGTAGTGTTCAGTGATTCATTTTCATTGTTTACTATTTCAGAGATTATTAAAAATAGTGATAAGGAAATTTTAGGTAATATTTAATGAGTACAACTTATATACAAAAAGTTATGCCATCAAATACTTTATTGACATCTATAGAAATGAGACATGAAAATTTTGAAAAATACTCAAGTCAGAACAATTTAATAGCAAGTCTTTTGTGATACTGATTGCATTGGAAAGTACTTAGTAATATTTTTAGTATAGATTCAAATAATAGAGAGAAATGGCCATTTGATCTCAAGTAAAGAGTTATATTCATCTTTTTAATTTGAATCATTATTATCTCTTTCCATTATTTAATACAGGACTATTCCCTGATGTGGGTGGAGGTTATTTCTTGCCACGACTTCGAGGAAAACTTGGTTATTTCCTTGCATTAACAGGATTCAGGCTGAAAGGAAGAGATGTGTATGCAGCAGGAATTGCTACACATTTTGTAGATTCTGAAAAGGTAATTACTTGGATTATTGCATTTTGTGTTATTGGAATAACTCCTGTTGCATGGGAAGGCAGTATAAGTGGTTGGGATCCCAGGCTTTTGGTTAGATGTGGGTCTGAATCCGGGATCTACTGTTTAAAGTTGTGTGACCTTTGGAAAGATAGTTAAGCTCTCCAATCATGTTTCCTCATGTGCAAAATGGAGATAATTATGTCTGGATTCAGGACTGTTTTGCCTGGCACCTTCAGTGAATATTTTTTCATGAATAATTACACTTTGGTTAAAAAAATACCTACTTCAAGAAAATCTAATATATAAGAATCTAAATTTATATATAAAAAGATAGGCTTTTATTTTACAAAAACATTTTTGAAAGGTCTTCTTGGTTGTGAGTTTCCCTACTAGTGCATTTAAGAGTTACATTTGTAAAATATGGTCTTAAAAACTTTTCTAAAGGCTGTTGCAAGGGACACATATTACTTAGCTTTGTCTTTTTTTTTTTTTTAACAAAATTTAACAGTTTTCTTAGCACAGAATAGCACAGTGGCAAAGAACGTACAGACAGACAGCTTAGGTTTAAATACTAGCTTGAATTTAGCCTCTTTATCCCCTAGTTTGCCCATTTCTATATGGGGATGGCAGTTCCTACCATAGTAGTTGAATATTTTTGTGGTCAATGTAACAGAAAATCCAGTTCAAGGTGGTTTTGCCTCAGAATTTCCAGCAAGAAACTTGGGATTTATTCTGCTTCAACTGGGAGCTCACCCTCCTTGAACTGGCTTATATTACCCTTGAACCCATGAGCCAGTTAGCCTACATCAACTAACCCACCTTGCTAATGTGTTCCATATCTGGAAGTATGGGGTGAACTTAGCTTTCTAGGAGGAAGCACATAGATCTCCAGATGGATATCTGATCTTGAGAGAGGGATGTTTTGGGATAGGAGGAGGAATGTTACAAAAAAGTATGAGAACCTTCTATCACATTGCTTGAAGTTTCAGATCTTTCTCCATGTTATGGGCATCCACAGTCACACTGAGTAGGTGTCTGTCCCATCCTTCCCGTGAGCTGTAAGAGGAAGCAAACATGGGACTCCATTTTGTACTCTTGAGGGACACCGTTTGTTAGAGTGGAATTTAGTTAAGAATGGGAGAGAGCGCTGATCCACAGCTTAATTCCCTTCTTTGTCAGCCTGCTCAGTAATAATTTCTACAGTGTGTAGGCTGCCATTCACAGGACCTGTACAGGATAACAGAAATGAGTAATGAATGTTGGGGTTGAGACTAGAGGGGCATACAAAAGATAAAAGATAAATAACCATCTGTCTCATCTGACAAAGTAGAATATGAGAAGTGTAACAAAGAATATAGAGAAGGTACTCAATGGATTGAAAGGAGGGAAAACTTAAAAGGCTGGAAGTTTTCTCATAGAGGTTGCAGTTCAGCTGGGCCTTAAGATGAGTACTGTCAGGAAAAAGCATTCTAGATAGAGGAAAACATGTAATGAGCAAACCAGCGGGCAGGAAAGCTTAGCTATGTTTTGGAAACAATAAAAAGTCCCATTTGGCTGAGCATAGAATAGTATGTGAGGGATATAGATGTAGATTAAGTGTGGTTATATTATAGAGCTGTGCACTGACCATAGTAACCATTAGTCACATGTGGCAATCTTAAAGTTAATTGAAATAAAATTTATAATTCAGATCTCTGTTGCAGTACTGCATTTCAAGTATTTAATAGAGAGAAACAAAGATGAATGTCTCTCCTCTTTAGTTTCTTCCATCTTTATCTAATTCCTTGCAAGGCAACATTTGCTGTGTGGGAATGTGTGTGCATTCAACTTCAGAGAAAATTTCCTTCACTGATTAGCTGAAGAGAGCACATCATAATTTTAAGACAAGTATTTTTAAAAAGAGTATATAGTTTCTTTAAAAGAAAGTCCTGGTGCAGCCATTCTGGAAAACAGTTTGGAGTTTCCTCAAAAAGTTGAAAATAGAGCTACCCTACGACCCAGCAATTGCACTACTGGGTATTTACCCCAAAGATACAAATGTGGTGATCCGAAGGGCTATGTGCACCCCAGTGTTTATAGCAGCAATGTCCACAGTAGCTAAACTATGGAAAGAGCCACGATGTCCATCAACAGATGAGTAGATAAAGAAGATGTGGTATATATATACAATGGAATATTATGCAGCCATCAAAAAACCCGAAATCTTGCTATTTGCGATGACATGGATAGAACTAGAGTGTATTATGCTAAGCGAAATAAGTCAATCGGAGAAAGACATGTATCATATGATCTCGCTGATATGAGGAATTCTTAATCTCAGGAAACAAACTGAGGGTTGCTGGAGTGGTGGGGGGTGGGAGGGATGG